TCAGCTTTGTTATAAAGCACTGGGATTTAGTGAGTGTTGTTGTTATAGAATTGTGATAGTTGTTGCTAGGGGACTATAACCTTCCCAGGATGATGCCACACTCCAAAGTTGCCAGTTCTCTCAGCCGTTCCGGACCGGCAGAGATGCACTGTCAACGGTAGACGGTTTTTAACTAGAGGCTGTCCCTTCACCCAAATTCATAATAGTCCCCTAAGTGCTTCAATTCAGACAAACATTTCTATTACAGCAGTACTTTTGGTTCCTTCTACCGAAAAACTTCACGCTGAGCATGAAATTACCGTATTTAGCTGCTGTAAAGCTCTTCGCCAAATACTGCACAGCTATTAGGTGATATAAAGTATTTTTCTAAAGGAACTAGTAAAGCCACAAGTGGCACAGCTCCGAACTGTATTTAGTATTTTCACCTCTTTAGCTTTAACTCCTGATGTTATTAGCAGCTGTAATATTTAGCATTGATTTCTTATAAGGAATTTCAGATGAAGCAACTCTTTTGTAAGACAGCTAGATTTTCTGAAGTTTGTTTCCCATCTATAAAGCAGTCATTTCATTTTGAATGCCTGTTTCTTATCCCCTTAATTAGATTTGCAAAGGAATCACTCATTGCAGGCTGTTTGTTCAAGAGGTAAATAATTTTTAATTTCACATAAGTTTCTTCATATCTAAGACAACGTTCAGTGTATAAACTGCTTTCTTGCTTTCTTAAGGATTTTAAAGTGGCTTGTTTGCTCTTAAAGGTAGCTTTTTGTCATCCAACTACCGTAAAAATTTTGCACAGCTATTAGGGTAAATAAGGCATTTTACCAACGGAGCCCCAAACCGCGAAGCATCTAGTTCTGTATCCTTTCAATTTTTCATTGGAACTGACACTTAAACTCTTAGACGATTTTCCTCCTTATTCTTTTAAAAGCTGTATTTTAAGTTTACCATGAACGTATTTTCGAGCTGACAAAAGTGTTTCAGGGCAATGTCGCCATCTTTAGCGGAAAAACTACCTTTCCCAGAATGCATTTCCCTTATATCAGTCCATAATAATATCAGTCCCTTATATCACATCCCTTTTATCAGTCATTTCCCATAGTTCTTTTCGGGTCTGAGAGTCAACTGGTTCTTTTACCAGACTTGCTTACAAATTCTTGCCCGGGAGGTTTGAACAAAGTTTTTTGCTTTTGCAACAGGAGATTTGAACAAGCATTTTACATTTTCAATTATGGGACACTGGGAGATTTCTATTCTCTCTTCAGCTGGCTTCAACAGGTGTCTCTCCTTCATTTGACACTGGCCCCCAAATCAGAACTGCACCTGCCTCGTTAGCCGGCATTGAGGCTGGCATTTCTGATAGCAACTTTCCTAGGGGCTTGTGTTTGTCTTAGCCAGTCAGTGAAAAACATTTACAACAGCTTTTCCATAGCTCTTTCAGAGAGATTTTCTCCCACTGATTTTATTCTCATTTTGCTTGTTCCTTCCTTCCCCAGATGCAGAGCTTCAGGTATCTGTCTGCGGCTCTGTTCCTCTGCTAGCTGCTTTTGGAGGTAGGGGCTTTTTTCTCTCCCCAAATCTGCCTTAAATTCTAGCAGCTTTTTCAGGTCATATATTTCTGGGGAGGATTATGTCCCTTCTGTTTCTTCAGAGTCTTTCTCCCAGACAGTTCCCAGTTTGGTCTCAGTTTATCCCCTCTACCCCAGAAACAGTTTCCGACACTACAGTGGCGGCTTTCCCTGCTTCTGAAGGTAGGGGCTTTTTGTCCGTTTGTTTTTGGGTCTGTGTGGTTTGCATACAGACTGAAAATCTAACAAGGGAGGTTTTTGCCATCTCTAAACTCCCATTAGGACAGGTGTTTTGCCTCATCAGGCCTTCACCTGACCCAGTCCCCCCAGTGGGTTGCATTTGCTTGTCTGGGTGCTCAAGGACAGAGCTTATGCCAGAGGCAATCACCCCTCAGGGCTACACTCCCTCATCTCAGGTAGTCAGTTGAAACAAAGCTTTTTCTCAAAGAGGTGCTTTCTCTGACAGAAAAGAAAGCTTTACTCCTGGATAGTTCTGTTCTGCCCTGGCTGGGCTTTTTCCCCAGACAGTGTTCTGACTCAACAGCACAACTGCTTCAGACACAGTTCAGCTTTACTGTTTTCCCAGAAAGGTCCTTTAATAGGAAAGCTTTTTCTCAGATTTCTTTTTGCAGCTGTGGACCTATCAACCCTGGACTTGTAGGAAAGTGGACAACTATGCCGTTCCTACTGGCTTTAGTTTTGGTTGTTCATTAGCAATCTTCCCCTGGGTCCTGCACCTTCCTGCCTCAGCTCTGTGCTCCTGGAAGTTTGCAACTGCAGGAACCCTAGTATCCCCGAAATGCACCCCAACTCAGAGACGCTGGCCAGTCGCCTCTGGGTTTTTGGTTAGAAGCGAGGATACAAGGCTAACAGTTTGCATTGCTTCAGGGGATCTTTGCATTAGGACGATTAGGAGCACCTTTTTATTCTGAAATGCTCACTCAAACAAAACCATTAATGCCTCAGCTTGGCTGTAACTGAAAAGCTTGGCTTTTTTGCTTTTCTCAGGTAAAGTTTCCCGTCCTTTTGGGCTCTCTGTAGCTTTTTACCCACACTCTCCCAAGCATTTCCCTCAGGGTGCTCTGACCCACTGTCTTTTACTAGTTTGAAGAGACAGAGCTTAGAAGAGGTTTTTAGGAACTTGTCCCTGCCTCCTGCATTGCAGGGAGGATTTTTAAAGCTTGAAAGAACTTAGGTTTTGCTGTTTTAAGAGGTTTGTTGTTTTCCCTTTGAGCTAATCACAGGTGGTCCCCATACTAATATCTTCAGGTGATTCTAATTTTTGTCCTCCTGAGAAAGTTAAAGGCTTTAGTTTTCAAGTTTAAGAGCTTTTGAGAAAGATGAAGGCTTTTTAGAGAGATATTTCTCCCCAAAGTTTCCAAGAAAAGCTTTATAGTTTAAGAGAAAGATTTTTTTTCCCCAAGAGAGAAAGACCAACTTTTCCCTAAACTTCCCAACTTTAAACTTTTTGGCTTTTTACACCCCCATTTTTGCCTCAGGGAGAAATCACTTTCTCCTGCTGCTTGGACTTAGCATTTCAGCTGTCCCCAGGTCAAAAGCTTCCATAGGAAACTTTTTCTTCCCCATAAGCTCAGAGAAGAGCTTTTTTAATACCCGTAAAGCCCAAAGAAAGATTTTTCCCAGTTTGCGTTTATAGCCCCCAGAGTTAGAAAATTGTAGAGTTTTTCTGTCTAGTTGCCTTATTTTTTCCTACACAATCTTACACTTCTAAGTTTTTCCTACACTATATTACTACGCTATACCTTATACTTATTTTTCACAGATAGAAATTGAGAAAGGGATACAAGATAGAAAATTTTGACAGAAGAGAATTTCGCTGCAGCATCGGACATCCTTCCAGTCCGCTTTCCTTTTCTCTCGAGGATAAAACCCCTGCCTCTCAATAATATATATAAAAAATATATTTTTTCCATAACACCGCGGCATGCCTTATCCACTGGCAGGGCTGAACTCAGCACTTTCGCCAAAAACTCTGTAATAAAACTATTATTTTCCTTTATCTTTAGTCCCTATTTGTCTTTAGTCCCAGTTCATTTGTCTTTAGTCCCCCTTTTTTTTTAGTCCCCCTTTTTTTCTTTAGTCCCTTTTTTTCTTTTTTCTTTAGTCCCTGTTCATGGCGCCATTCTGTGGGGCGTTTACCCACCACCCCCACAGTTCCCCAGAGTTTTCTTGAGTGCGAGCAGCAGGAAATATTAGAAGGATTTATTGCGGAGAATATCGCGGAGATAAACAGATAGAAAATAAAGGATAGCCTCGAGAGGGCCTGGAACCTATTCCAACGGGCCCTGACTGTCTCTGCCCCAGGGTTTTTATAGAGACGCCAAGGGGTGGAGCAAAAGATCTCCTCCCCCAGCACAGCCAAGTGCAGACCATCTGCACTCAGGCCCGTGGTCCTAATCATCCTCTATTCGGACATGCTGGGTAAAGCCACGAGGAACCTGAGAACGGGCTCCCACACAATTCCTCATTGAGACTCCCTTCTCTGATCATTCTTATATTGTTTCAAGTAGACTATCAAAACCAACCATAAAACTATGGATATACGTATAGTTTCTTTGTATTTTACAATTGCCTAAGTGTGAGCATTACCCATGTTCACAAATTTTCTAGGATACAACACATTTTAAGTATTACAGTGAAATGAGTTGCTTAAAGATAATGTATAATATGTTTCATATTACACATATCAGAATAAGTTAATTTTCTACTACTTTATGAGTTTCTATTTATTTACTATCTTTCAGTATTGATGTGTTGGTGTATGGGACTCGGCCCATGACAAAGAAGTTAAAAAGAAGTTGAAAATTTCCAGATTTGCTACTGGGTATGGAAAACTCATGCAACTGGTGTGAAAGAGTTCTATAAATTCCACAATGTATGAACTTGACACTGTGTCTCCCTCAAGTTGAATGCCTTAGTATCTACTCAAGAGAAATGACTACACAATGCATGTTTCATGTATGCATTCTCGTTTATATGGTAGTGTCCTTAACAGGTGAAGCTTTGAGCTAATCCAAATGTCCATGAACAATGAATGATCAGGCAATGTTTGTCACATCACTAGGACAAACTTCTCATACTTGCTAACCCTGTGTTCCCTTGAAAATAGCATGCTACTGATTAGATGTTGGGTCTCATGCCTCTCATACTAGCCCTTGGGAAGGAGAGGCAGCAGGATTTCTGGTAGTTCATGGCAAATGTAGAATTACACAGTACAGAGCTTGTGTGGATTATCTACCTGCCTGGACATATTGAAACAGGGGCCTTGTCAGACTTTTCTCATACCAAGTCAGCAGATCTTCAGGCCAAGGCCCACTCTGTCAAACATAACGCTTTTCTCCAAGTACTGTAAACCCAAGTACACTGTCCTTGTCTTGAATAACTGTCTTCATCTTGTCCTGTATATCTTTGCAGTTCTCGAGTATTCGCTGTCATCATCATGTTGAAAAACTACAATCACCAAATGGGAGGTTTTGCTTTGTCCATGGTGGCCTGGCTACTTTGCTGCATCTCCATGAGGCTCCCTCAGTGGCAAGTATGGCACTATGAAGATCCTATGACTTTCAAGCCTACAGTAGCTTTTGTGGGCATATGGAAAGCCTGTGTTTTCCACAATGGCAGCAACTCCAGCAACATCAGAATATGTCATCAATACAACTACCGTGACTCCTTTGTTCCACTGTATATTCGAATAAACCAGCACCTGTTGCTGGTGTCTAGCTTGCTTGGGCTCTTTGGGAAAATCACCACCATTATTGCTCTTTGGACCATGTGTATGGGAAGAGTACGGTGGAATGCCATCTGCAATCCATTCAGCCTTTCAGGGATTCTGAACATCATTGCTAGCAGCTTTCTTTACCTTACTATTTTATTAAATTACGCATCCACCATTCGCAAGTGGGGGGTTGCCTTTCCACCATCTTTCAATATGCCTTCCCACCCTGACACTCAGAAGATTGGCAGTGCCATGGCTCTGGCAATTATAGCTGCTGTTTTCTTTCTATTCAGTGGCACAATTTTCCTTTCTTCAAATTTAGCCGTAGGCAAGACACCCCATTCCAAAATTTAAAAGTAAATTGCTATCTTATACCACCTTGAAACTCCAGCAAAGATAACATTCATCATGTGTTTACATAAGTTTTCAAAGAACTCAAAATGATGCCAAATGTGGCCTGTGGGGGGGAAAATGGTCAAGTTGACCTTCTCTTATCTTTTTTTTTGTTTCCTTAATTCATTATTTGGATTATGGGCTTTCATTAAATACAATCTCATTTGAATTGTCATATAAAAATCTGTGTTTTATTTACTGTCAACAAAAGTAAATAATAAACTTAATCCATATTGAAGTGAGTGTCAGAGTACATTAATCTCTCACATTGCTCTTGAATCCAAGGCTCAAAACAGAACCTGGACTGTTTCCCCCTTCCCTCTTATCCATCTCTATTAATCTACTCTATGTCCCTTTCCTAGGGAAATTTATCTCTCCTCCCTGGTCCAATACTCTGTAGCTAACCTCTGAATTATAGTCTTCTTAATGAAGAATTAACAGCTAATATCTACATAAGCAAATACACTCATTCATAAAATGTTAGTCTTTCTGTGTCTGGGTCACCTTACATTGATTATTTTCTAGTTCCATCCATTTACCTGAAAATTTAATCATTTCATTTTTTAACAGCTGAGTAATATCCCATTGTGTAAGGTTCCCACATTTTCTTTTTCCACTCACCCATTGACAGACATCTAGATTATTTCCAATTAATGGATATGAATAGAGCAACAATGAACTTGTTTGAGCAAGTGTCTTCTTGAGTAGTGGTTCAGACGGGTGGAACAATTCTTTGTCCTTCTCTTCTGGCACTTTCTTTGGGATGCTGACCCCAGCCTACGTATGCTTTCACCCCCTCGTACTGTGGACTTCCTGACTCTCTGAAGTTCCCCTCTTCACTGTCCCTGCCTGCTGCCCTTTGACTGTGCTAGTCTCACCTCAAACTGCATATTTTATTTTGTTCCCTTCTCTTCTTCACTCTCCTCCTCTGGACAGTTCCCAGATTTATACCTTGCCTACACCTGTATAATGTTCTGAACTATAGTTATTTGTCTTTGAGTTTGAATTTGAGTCTATCCATTTATTTTATTAATGAGTCTAAAATCCACAAGGGGGAGTTTCCATGGTGATGTATGTTGACTCCACTGGGACACTCTATGATTCCCAATAATACTTCACTTTCTGTCTTTTATTTCAGTAATGAGAGGAAAAAAGACCTGTCCCTGAACTGCTAGACAGTATCACATTGGAACCCACCCTGGGGTTTATTGCAGAAATTGCCAAAAAGGTCCTTCAAACTGAGATTGTAACTTCTCCAATAACTATCAGTGGTTTTCAAGGCATATCCTACCTAGATTCATTACTTTCAAGTCCAAACTTAAAGATCAAAGAAAAAATGGAGAAGAATCCATCAGACAGAGACTCTTGTGAGATCAAGGAAATTCTAATAGACTTTGATTTGAACATTAAAATTATGTTGTTTTCTGGCTTCCATGCCTACAACTTCTCTTCTAATAACCATTACCATGACAGACTTCAAATATCCTTTCCCTCTTACACCTTGCTGTTTTACAAATGGAACTGTTGATGTAATTTTTGGTCCTCCAAAAGGGACCACTGAATGGATAACTAAGGTACCACATCAGGTACTTCCCCCTTAGATGCTGGCCCATCCCTGGGTGGAGTCAGCTTATGGCTTTTTCCTGGATCCAGGTGTTGCTTGCCAATAAGCCTGTCACAGAAACTGTTTCTGGGCCCCTAAGCCTGTCATGGCAGCTGTGTGGTCAAGCTGTTTTGGGTCCCCCACACTTAATAGTTACTCCCAGTGATCAGGTCATTGGAAACAACCTAGATGTTCTTCAACAGAGGAATGGATAAACAAAATATGGCACATCAACACGATGGGATATAACTCATCTGTTTACAAAAATGAAATCATAAAACTTGCAAGTAATGAAACTAGAAAAAAATCTTCCTGAGTGAGATAATGCAGACCCAGAAAGACAAATATGTATTCACTTATGTGTGAATATTAGCTGTTAAATCCATGATAACCAAGCTATAATCTGTAGAACCAGAGGTTAGGTATAGAGTAAGGGACTAGGGTGAACATATAGATTTCCCTAAGAAGGTGAAATAGAAATGGTAGTTACGAATTTATGAGGGGAGGGAGATTGGAATGGGAATATTGTTATTTATTTGTTGGTGTTGTTTACCAAGAGTGAGAAAACACAAGGTACAATGGAATCCACTATAAGAGTTTTTATTAGGGAAGAGACAGGGTGGAGGTGGGTAGGCCTACCAAAAAGAAAGGTGTGGGGTTGGATGGTGTGGTGGGTGGGGAGAGGAGAGAGAGAGAGAGGTGCATGCTACCTCAGTCAAGAGGGAGAGCGGGGAGCAGGTAGAGACTGCTTTTATCGGTCACCTGGCACATGCATATATGGGCTTACATAGCTACGCCATGCATTCACATAGGTTACGTGGCCACGCTGCGCTCGAATTACATAGTGTGTAAGGCCCTGGAGTGACTAAGCATTTTGCCTGACTCCAGAAGTGGAGAGGAATAATAGCAAATATCAAGTTGGGAAATGAAGGAAAGAGGGTGGCAAGGGAGAGAATATGAGGAGAGACAGCTAAAATTAAGGGCCATTTAAGTGGTAGTATGGAAACCTAATACAGTCAGAGCTTCCTAAAATACCTACATTATATGAAGGTCAACTAAATGAAAGTGTGAAAGAACAGGGGACACAAAGCTGGCAATCTTTTGTCACAAAATGAAGCTTCCAATAACGGCAGTAGGTTACGTTTAATTGAATTGTTGGCTGAAGTGGTTCCATACCAACCCCCAAACAACCCAGGCTTTTCCCAAGTCTACAAGGTGCCTTCCACAAACTGACAACAAGGCTCCATTGCTGAAGACATCTACACAACACATTGAAGATGGAGATGGAGAGCTGGTGCCAACTCGGAGTCTTCTCTCCTACAGGATTGTGTTATTGGTACTGTGAGGTACTCTGCACACTATCAAATGAAAAATGCAAACACAAAACCAGCTACAAACCCTTTGTTCTACAATGGTGTCCTGCAATCACGATATGTTAATACAATGGTCTCACAAATGCAGTGGGAGTACCCACCCAGTATCTGTGTGGTGGTTTGATTTAGAATAGCCCCCATAGGCTGATAGTATTGAATGCTTAGTCACCAGAGAGTGGCATTATTTGAAAGGATCAGAAAGTGTGGCCTTGTTGAAGGAAGTGTGTTTGTGGGGAGAGGTTTGAGGTTTCAGAAGCCCATGCTAAGCCCAGAATCTCTCTCTGCCTTTGCCTGTGGATCAGGATGTAACTCTCAGCTACTTCTCTAGCACCACACCTGCCTGAATGTATTCTGCCATGCTCCCACCATGATGATAATGGACTAAGCATCTGAAACTGTAAGCAAGTCCACAAATAAATGTTTCCTTTTATAAGTATTGCCTTTGGCATGGTGTCTCTTCACAGCAATAGAACACTAGCTAAGACAACCTAATTTGATTTAAGACCCACTCCACAAGATGTAACCCATACCTAGCACTGGTTGGGTGATGAAGAACCTGAGATTATACACCCAAGGAACCTAGGGTAAATCCAAAACCTACCATTCTACTAAAGTAACATAGCAATAAAATGACTCCTCATGATGCTCTGCTATACTCATAGATCAGTATCAGTGCTCAGCCATTATCAGAGAAGCTTCCTCCTGCAGCAGGTGTGAACAGATACAGGGAACCACAGCCAGGTATTATGCAGAGAGTGAGAGAACTTGGAACACTCAGCCCTAAATTAGATGCCTTGATCAAATCTCTCACTTCAGGCCTCAGAGAACCTCATAGAACAGGAGGCAGAAAGAATATAAGAGCCTCAGGGAATGGAGGACACCAAGGAAACAAGGCCTTTCCTTCTAACACCAAAGGACTACCACAGCCTGAAAGACTAGCTCTCAGGTTTGCATCCAGGGTAGCAGAAAGAATGCTTTTTAGAGTAGCAGGGATTAGGAAAATTTCTTATCTATAAGTAAATTCACAAATGAACTGTTCAGGTCATGCTCTTTATTCTTCTGCCACAGCTTCAACTTTCCAAAGCTTATATACACATACAACAGCAAACTTTGGCAATAATAAAGGTTACAGAAACTTCTGAGGGTCACAACACATTCCTTAGTAAGTGATAAGGGACACATGCAGAATAAACTTGTCAGCTTTTGATTAGTGGGTGGCTGCAGTTGTGGTTGTAAAAGTTTGGCTTGTAACATTATCTCTTCAAGGAGACAGCTACAAGGGTTACAAAGGAGAAAAGCTGAGCTATGGGGAAATCAAGGGATGAGTAAAGGAGTCACGCACTAACCTACATTTCTAGGGTACAACTAACATTATAGGCTAACATTTTGTTATCAGCAAAATGTATCCTGGGCCAGTAAGCAGCTTGAGCCTGAAAGTGCAGCCCCTGCTGGAAGCAGTCTGTGAGAAGACAATGGGAGGGGATAAAAAGGTCTGTGAGTAACCATGGCAACCCATGCAAAGCGAGAGGCAGAAGCACACAGAGTGTGCATATCAGCAGTTTTGAAAAAGACTGGCATTGAAAAGCATCCCAAATGTCAAAATACATTTTCTATCCTGTGTGCAACCTCAGAACACAAGGAGAGAACCTTGAAACTTTGGCTGCAAGGACAGACCACCTTCCATAGCCCTAGCTGTCTGTGAAACCTTTCCCACAGTGATCTGGGCACAAAGCTGTTTCCCACCCTGACCCACCCCGCCCTCATCCCCACCCTGGACCTGGCTAATTGATTAACTGCTTAATTGCCTGCTATCTACATAAAATTCAGGACTTAAACATAAACAGTTAACTGAGCCTAAAATATTGTACCATAAACTGAGGTAGAGGGATGCATGGATCACCCTAGGAAAGGGAAATAGATGAGATCTCAATGAGTAAACTGGGGGTGGAGCGCAATAAAGGGTAGGGAATGGGATATGAGAACAC